CCAAAGGAACCACAGAATGGCTGCTCTTGGCCATGCTTCTCTCTAGTTTGCTAATTAGTTAATTTCTGCTGTAGGCCACTTCTGGAGGTGGACCCATGCCATGAAGTTTGGAGCCAGGGTTTTGTTTCGGACCTGTTGCTAGCTGACACCTATTGAAAATTGATCCTGCAGGGGAAAAAATGAGTAACGTTGTGAGACTGTGTCGTGAGCCTGATGTTGCAATACCTGCACCTGCAGGAAACGTGGTGGTGATCTGTCAGCATGTGGCATTGTTGGGGCTTTGTATTGTGCTGTTGCACCAGTGCGGGATGACGTTGCACCATAGTGCAGCAACAAAATAACTTGGCTGCGTTGACATGAAGCTGTGATGAACTAATGGACTGGCCCAACTTCCTGACCTGGCAACGTTGGGCTTGTGACGCACCGACATGACATCACAGTGGTGTGGCCACCCTTATTAGCAGGATGCAGCATAAAACTGAAGTTAACTAGCAGGCCTTATGGTAGAACTATCCTAACCCCATTTGTGATGCTATTGGGGACAAAGAACACGGCCAGTCCTAGATTTTTGTGGGGCTCTATGCTGCACCTATAACTGGGTTCTCCTACCTGCATGTATCCACATCTTGCCTCCTGTCCCCCTGCGAAACGTCTTAGCCTTTGGCAAACTCCCCACACTTAATTATGAGACCATTGGAGCCTCATCACAGAAAGGCATGCAGTGGAGAGCAGAAGCAGACTTTTGTAGGCAGAATGGGGAAGGACCGGGAATTGCGTCTCTGCTGTGGCTTCCTGGTGCCAGAGCTGGATGGGACAAAAGGACCGGGAATTGGAGACAGTGCTGTGGCGGGGGGGTGGTCATGTGAGGGGAGTGGAACCCCTGGAAGAGCCGTTTGGACAATCTCATAAGCCTCAGACTTCCTCTAACAGGTCAGCGCCATTGAGCTCCCCCACAATTCTCAGGGCCTTCTTTCTGAGGTGGAAGTAGGTTGCCCTGGCAAAATCATGTTGGTCTGTGGTCCTTAAGAAACAAAGGAAAGCAAGCTGAGGTTTCCCCCCAGAGAAGGATGGGGAGAGACACATTGTTTGGTGTTCCTCTTGGTTTCCTTCCTCCATGCTCGCTCCCCTCAGAGCTGCTGTGCTGCCGGAGAACAGCCGTTACCTCAAGAGACAGCTGCAATGGTCAGGTTGACAAACGGGCGTCTTCCCAAAGTAGTAATAATCAGAGAGCAGCAAGGAATAAATATTTCATTAAAGCCAAGCTGCTGTGGGCCAGCTTTTCAGGTGATAACTTGCCGCAGTATGCAAGGCAATCCCCCTGCTTCTTGCCCAGGCCTGACCTGCTGAATGGCAGCTGGGAACATTTCAGTGTCGAGCTTGAAAGGGAAAAGTGTGCGGGCTTCTCTAACAGAAGGAGGTGACGCGGGAAGGGGAGGACCCTGTGTGTGCAAGAGTTCAAGCAGCCGAGCGTTAGGGAACGTTCTGTTCCCGCCTGCAGCCAGGGATAGGGTGGCGGGGCGGCTGGAGACCTGCGGCGGAGAGAACCTTTGGCCCTGGTTCCAGCTCTTTAAAAACGTTATCTCCCAAGCTGTAGACTAATGAGTCTGGTTCAGAGACGAGTTCCACGGCCTGCCAGGCGGGAGATGGACACCGGGGTCACTGCTTAATTGAGGCAAAGGGCAGTGCTTCGGGGAAGCTAGTCTAGTCTTAACGAGCCCGCTGAGTGAACAGGAGAGAGCCCCTCAGCCGTCGCCTCTTTCTGTGGGACCTGCGGCTCTTCCCTCACAGGGCGTGTGTGTGGGGGGGCACTCCCACCGAACGCTGCGCTGGCTCCCAATTGGGGACCCGCCAATTTGGGGGGGGGGTGAGAGGGTTGTTATAGTGCCGGCAGCCTTCCCAGCAGTGTTTACGCTGCGTGAGCAGCATTCGCCGTGGCGGCTCGCCTCCGCACCTGCTGTGCTGCAAAGGGTCTCCACGCCAGCCCTGCATAAGCCAGCGCAGAGAGCAATGACGGGGCAAGCCCAGGGCCGGGACCGCAGGTTCTGCATGGATATGGATGCCTCCCCCCTGCAGCTGCTATTCCTACCCATAGCTCAGAGGGGTCCTGTCAGGGGAGCTGTGCTTCAGCCCCATAGCCTGGCCCTGGGTGTGGGGGTTGGAATTCAACTCTCCAAGCTACTAGAATTCAGAGTTTCGCCCCGTCCAGCTTCTATGCTTGGACTCAATTCCTCCTGACTCCAAGGCGGTTCCCTGGCTGGCTGAGTCTGTGGTCCCTAGACAGCTGGTGAGTGAGGAACTGAAGGCACGTCTACCCACTGGCTAAAACGATGGCAAAACGGTGGGATTATGCATTTGTATGGGTGCATTTCAGGGTCAGGACATCACACCATTTACATGCAGCTTTTTCACTTCTCTAAGACGGTAAATAAACAGATCTTCAAGCATTCATCCTCCTTTGATGTTTGCCAGCTAGCGTGATAAATCCACTGCCCTCCCTGTTTGCAGACTCCAGCCTGGCTGGTTTCCGTAATGCCACTGTTCCTTGGTCATGGCAACACTCTTTCTCTCTGCCAACGAATAAGTATAATCAGGGTGACCCTTAACACCTTCTGGCCCTGAGGATACTCCAAGGAATGGAACCATAGGGTGGGCAGGGCATGTGTGATAGCCCTGTAGCTGGTTGGTAGTTTGGATAAAAAGCGGATCCAACTATTGAAATGCTGGAGGTGGGATGGAATATGGAGGGGGCAGGAACAAACCCAGCTGGGGCAGGGAAGTGACTTAAGTTCTGATCTAGGAACAGTGCCGCCGGTTTAGGGCTTGATCCAGCTCCCCTGGAAATGAATGGTATAACTCCCTCTAGCTTCAATGGAAGTTGTATCAGGCTCATTGAATAGGCCTACACTCAACATAGTCACACGCATATTAGCCAGGGTAGTGGCCAAAGCTCTTCCCTGATCCCAGCATTTTCCTGTGTTCTTAAGGACCACAAAACATAAGCTTCCTCTTCAGCTTAGTTCTTTGTAGGGTTGCAGAACCTCCCGGCCCCTGCTCTGAGTTGCCTCTGCCCAAGAGGGAGACTTCAAGCCTTTTTACACTTCTGGGCTCCTGCAACTAATAGGACCCACCTGGTCTGGCGGTGAGGGTGCATCAGCAGATTTAACTACATCTCTGTGCAGGATCCCAGAATTGACACTCTGTAAGAGGCCGTTGCTGAGGGAGAGCTGTACGCTGTTTAATCCCTGTTCTCCTATGTCTTTCTAAGTTAATTACTGACTTCTGCACTTTAATAAGCACGGAAGTGTTTGAAAGATGAGCACTGGATGAAAGGGGCGAGGCCAGGATGGCATAACTTTTTCCTAACCTCAAACTTTGAGCACTAAATTCAGACTTTTGGGGGATTTCACAGGCCAACAGGACAGTCACTAAAATCTCAGGGCATCCAGCAGGGCAGCCAGTGAATAGAACAGAGAATGAACAGGAAGACAGCTGCAAAGAAGACCGTTGTGGAGACCCAGTTATTGTCTGGATTCATAGAAAGGAGGAGTTAAGAAATCTGGATGTAATTCATGTCCATTGTCTGTCTAATTCCAAAGAAAAACTCTGTGTCTGGGCAGTTGGGCATGGAGTGGCTGAGATGGAAATCTCAGGTTTTTCAGTTTTCTGTTGTAGGCAAGAATTCAGGCCCTGCCCTTCTCCTCAGGTTTTCAGAGCAGACTTTTAGAGTTCCCCATCTATAAGTCATCCATATTTGGCAGTAGACTGTCAGTGTGCAAGGTCCGATCCACTATGGGTATCTAATAAAATCCAGTCATAAAAAACTAGGGATGGAGAAGACTTATTGGGTCTTCTAGTTCACCCCCACCTCCGGGGTACGTTCTCCAGTGCTTTGAGCCTTTCCCCAGAGAGATGATTCCGGGATCAACTAGCCCTCCCTCCCAGGAATGCTGTTTGTCGGCTTGTCTCCGTGAGGTTGCTCTTGATGATGTCTGTGGCAAGGTTCCCACTGATTTCAGTAGGAGCAAGATTGAGCCCATACACATCTGAGAACTTGGAAATGCTTGTAAGCATTTTGTGCTTTCTTTTTTTTTTTTTTTTTTTTTTTTCTCATTCTTTCCTCCATCATTACGGTGTTGTTGTCCTGGTCTGTCGGTCAGTTTCTGCTATTCCAAGAAATGACTCAGCCTTAGACACTTTTCCCTATCATCTGGCATTAGGGTACGTCCACACTGCAGTGTAAGCCCAGGGTTCAAACTCAGGCTCAAGCCAAACCCTGTTTTAATCTACACACACATCGTGTTAACCCAGGGCTTGGTCCCAGGATCCCACGGGGAGGGTCTGAGCCTGAATCAAGCCAGGACCCAGGGTTCAAGCCCTATTGCTTTGCAATGTTGATGCAACCCCATCGGATTGGCGCTCTGGGAATCCGCCAAAAGTATCCACAATCCTATGGGCCGACTTTCTTTGTCCTCTGGAAAGTCAATTTGGTGGACATTCAAGTTTAGCTATATTGCACAGTGGACAAAGGCTAGAGCGGCCACATTTTTGGAGGGTGCTAGGAAGCCTGGAATATGAGTGGTTGGACTCGGGCCTGCAGAATGTAGTGTAGACACTGGAACCCCAGGTTGGGACCCAGGGTTCAACAATTCCTAACCTGGGTTCACTCCAGCCCTAGGTTAACAGGGTCTGCTAACTCGAGTTCTACTAACCCTAGGCTTACACTCCCTTTTCTCACTGTATTCGGTACAGTTCCAAGACTGCTGGTTTAGAATAACACTCTTAACTCCGGTCCACTCAGATCTTTTTTTAGGTGAGGTTCTGCCACTCTTTCCCTGTGCTCCATCCATACCTTGTTTTAACCCACTTTGGGAGTCTGAGGAGAAAAGCAATTCTAAATCCCGTGTCAAAATCAGCATCTACCAGGCCACGGCATCTCCTTCTGATGAAACAAATGATGGTATAAGACACTGACTCTCTCTCATCTGCTTTTTTCCCGTTAGGACATACAACTTTACTCTCCCGCAGCCGTATTACCAGCCGGAAGAAGGGGAGGAGAATCCATTCATCTGCTCGTCCCATCGGGATAACGGCATGCAGAAATGCTCCAATATCCCAAACAGGAAGGAGTACAGGGTGGAGTGCACCTTGAGCATGGACTCCTACAACCAAAATTTGTATAATCCAGATTTCAGCAACAGGAACGCCTGCATAAACTGGAACCAATATTACAACGTATGCAAGGCAGGGGATGTAAACCCGCACAATGGAGCTATTAATTTTGATAACATTGGCTATGCCTGGATAGCTATTTTTCAGGTAGGATTTTGCAACTGTTTGCTTTATCTTGTTTTTTCCCATGTTGCTTGAAGGGGTTTTGACAGATGTTAGTTGAAAAAGGAATATGCTTGCAATAGAATGAAACTGGTAAATAGATGGGACGTGTCAGGTAAATGAACCAAAGAATAAACTCTGTGCTGTTTGGCGAGAGGCAAACTATGATATTTATCAATACATTTTAGAAAAGGGAGTGAAGATTTCTGATAGTAGAAGGGTTTTTCATCTAGCAGACAGAGGCATAACAAGGTTGAGTGGCTGCAAACTGAAACTCAATAAATTCAGGCTAGAAATAAGATACATTTTTAATAGTTAAGGCCGTTAACCATTGGAACAACTTACCAAGGGGTTGTGGTGGATTCTCCATCACTTGAAGCCTTTAAATCAAGAGTGAACATCTTTCTAAAAAAAAATATGCTCTAGCTCAACCACAAGATATGGGCTTGATGCAAGTATTACTGGGTTAAACTCTCTGGCCTGTGTTATACAGGTGGTCAGATGGGATGATCCTAATGGTCTTCTCTAGCCTTAAAATCTATGAACAGCTGTATATTTAGATGTTCTCCTTGTGCAGTCATTTATACCAGTGCAAAGTGCAATCAGGTCAGAATGGGAGTGTGTTATATTCACCGTAGATGTTTAAATGGCTTCCCAAGGTGTAATGTATCAGATTATCAAGTCCTTGGTGCACTGTTCCCTGAGGTCAAGAGCAATGGATAGTAAAGTTTATGGTCCGGAGGCCATTGTGGCTTAGGGATTGTCTACACACCAACTTTAACTTTTAATTCCAACCTTGTGTTATTTCAGGGCACATCCGTGCATGGGCGTTGTTTTTTCCCAAATGAGTGTTCTGTTTTGATTTAGGAATATCAAACTATAATATACATTTATTCTGAAACAAGAAATAGGTTAGTTCTTTGGTGCGAGTTTCTACAAAGACCAGCCCAGAGTAATACAAACCTGGGGAATAAGGTCAGAAGCGTCTGGCTGAAGCTGTTCCCTATATAAGAGGTATGGAAGGAACATGGTTTTTCTACACATAAGTTGCACTGCTGTAACTAAAGTGGTGCAACTTTGTGTGTGGACAGAGTACATCAGTGTAAACTTGGCTTACATGTGCAACCTGAACTGAGGCAAGTCCGGTTTAAACCAAAGTATGCAACTCCATCTGTGCCGTGTGCCTTCTGGCTGGCCTGGCCAGGATTGTACCGGGGACCTCCAGAGCTAAAAACATGAGCTTGCTACAATTTGAAGGGCCGTAGCAACTCTTCTTCTCCGTGCATCAGCACACAAGCAGACTTTGAACACACACTTGTGAGTGCATTACGTGTGCACAAAGTTACACCAGTTTAACGGAACTGAACCTTTAGTTAAACTGGTGCAGCTTTGCGTGTAGATCAGCCCAAAGGAGGAGTCACTTCCGATCCCAACAGCAGTGACTTCTAAGTAGATTACCATGCAGGAATCATCTGATCAGCTTACCATAGAGGCCTTGTCTTCCCTAGGAAAAATGGTGTGTGCTTATCTTGTGTTAGCTAATGTGTAACTAACACAAGGTAAAATCCTACTTTGTAGTTTTCACATGTTAGCAGGTTAAGATGAACCCCAAACTCCCCCATAGTTTTTGACTTGACCTGCTAACCCACAACAAAGCTACAAACTGTTTTCTCTTCACTGGGATTTGACCTAGTGTTAGTTACCACGCATGAGCTAACACACCATTTTTCCTAGCGAAAACTTACCTAGAAAGCAGTTGCTGTGCTGTCCTTTGAAAGTCTCCAGAGCTCTAAGCCTACAGAGTTGTAGCAGTGACATCTTCACAGCTTTTGCTCTTCCCCTTTTGAGGACTTTACTCAGGGCTGGCCCACAACATTTTGGCACCTGAGGCGGGGAGCTGAAATGATGCCCCCATGCCCCCTTCCTTGGGCCAAAACTTTGAAAGGTCTCCGTTCTGCCTTCTTCCTGTTCTACTCCTCTCATGGTACTGCTCTGCTACCTACGCCAATAAAGGAGAACTAACAACTTAAAATGCCTTGTTCAAAAATTTTAAGTAACACTTAACTTTCAAACGCCTGAACAGCAAATGTAACTTTTCTTGTCTGCATCGTAAACACTGGCATTTTTATCTGTTTGAATAATCAAAGTGGTGCTTTCTGTGCCTTCTTGATTGCAAAGATTTGAACTGCTTCCTGAAGGACCACAGTCTGGGCCAGCTCATGCTCTATTGAGATGGTTGCAAGACCGACCAGCCTCTCCTGTGTCATTGTGGAGCGTAGATGTGTTTTTATTAACTTCAGCTTGGAGAAGCTGCGTTCTCCACTGGCAACTGTTACAGGAAGTGTTAGAAGTATGCGCAGAGCAACAAAAGCATTTGGAAAGAGGGTGGTCATCTGATTTGTGCACATATATTCCAGAACAGCCTTTGGAGTTGATCCTGCTTAAATGTATCTTGAAAGGGCCTCAGTTCGCCTCATGGTAAGGCCAGCCCTGAACTGCCATGTTTTGCTCCCCTTCACTGTGTGTAGCATGTTGGCATATATATTACACTGTTATGCAATGTGTGGTAAATAACACATATGTATTGCCGAAGGGGGGAGATTGTTGCAGTGAGACCTGCAATGAAGACGAGCGTGACATGCCGTTGTTTTTAGCCGCTGCTTTGTAGTTTGGTGAATTACGTAAGAGAAGGTTAAATTGGAGAGTAGTAAGAAGAGAGGGAGAAGCAGAGAGAGAGGAGGAAGAGTAGGGAAAAGGTAAGGCTGGCGGGGTGAAGGACTGACCCAAATACTCATTGATAGGTGAACTTTGTTGCAAAGTTTGTACTTTCCTTTCTCACATGATCTGGTCCTTCCACTTTCTGATATGCAGGAATGTCCTGATCATACGGTCTTAATTCCCATCATCAGTGCTCTTCAGCTTCTGTCACCAGTTATTTCTTCCTTTTAATTATGTTAATTACTAATAATTACCGGTTGGCATTTGTAATTGGTGTGATTTTCTTTTCTAAATTTCCCTCTATTCTTCTATTCCCTTAGCATTCTAAGAAGCCCCGCTCCCAAGGAAGATAGGCCGATGCGCATATTTTCTTTGCTTTCAAATGCTGTCCCAGTGGCACATCTTGAGTTATGCTGCTGCTGCTATCTATTGCTCTAAAATGCATCCAGAAAGGTTTAGATAAGTCCCAGGCATCCACTATTTTAAAAATGCATTGGTACCCGCCTGGAATTAATGAGTCAAAATAGGAGCAGCCTCCGTGACTTTTAATATTCCTGATTGGTGCTGCCGGTTTGTCTCCTGGGGCTGGGAACCTCAAAGCGTAGATGTGCCCCAAGTCTCTTGGCTACGTCTACTGCACACCACTGGCAGCAGCGTGTAGGGTATGTGCAGCTACATGCCGCAGTGAAAAGCCAGCTGCATCCACGCTGCGGCGTGTAGCTACATGTGCCAGCGAAAGGCTCTGGCAAGGGGGAGGCAGAGGGAAAGGGCGGAGGCTGCAGGAACCTTTCCCCACTGCTTCCCTCCTGCTGGAGCCTTTCCCTGTGGCAGGGAAAGCCTCTAGCAGCAGGCAGGCAGCAAGACACTACACTGCTAAAAATGCAGTGTAAACGTGGGAGACGCTGCTTGGGGATGTAGAGTGCCATGTAGGGTATATACCCACAGGGTTCAGGTGTGTCTTTACTCACCTAGCCAGAGCCTCACTGTCTCAACCGTTATATAAACCCATGCTAGGGGGGCGTGCAGCGTACGTAGTCTGCACGCAGCCGTCAGGAGCGTGCCGTGTAGACGTACCATGGAAAGTCAGTGGGATGTAGGCTCCCAAGACCTAGTTACCAAGAGGTGTTCAGGCACCTCACTGCAGTGATGGTTAGGCTGCTGAATCTCTTGGAGGATCTAGGTCCCAGTGCCTAAAGCTATTTTTTGAAAATGAGCCTCAAGCTCCTAAATCAGTCAGGTCAGACTTTGCAACATGGAGAACAAGGAGTAACGGTCTCAAGTTGCAGTGGGGGAGGTTTAGGTTGGCTATTAGGAAAAACTTTTTCACTAGGAGGGTGGTGAAGCACTGGAATGGGTTACCTAGGGAGGTGGTGGAATCTCCTTCCTTAGAGGTTTTTAAGGTCAGGCTTGGCAAAGCCCTGGCTGGGATGATTTAGTTGGGGATTGGTCCTGCTTTGAGCAGGGGGTTGGACTAGATGACCTCCTGAGGTCCCTTGCAAACCTGATATTCTATGATTCTATGAAGCCTAAACGCCGTTAAAAATCTGGGCCCAAGGAACTCCAGCAAGGAGACTCAAGACCATGCTGATAATAAATTCACAAAAGACATAATAAGGACTATGGCTGCATCCATGTGTATGCGAGGATAATAATTCCTTATGTAATCCTACAAATTATTCATGTTTTGATTCCCTTCATTTGTTGTGTAATAGGCTAATTCATGTATGTATTTGTTACGAAGGCACGTTCAATGGCGAATTATGTGCTCTAATTATCTTACTACAGAATAAATGAAAGGAGATGGAACCTAAATTAACTGTGAGGTTTGGCATGATATTAAGATCCCTTTATTGCACATGAATTTCAGTAGCAACAATAAGAGTTGTAATTATGGGTATTGTCGTACTACAAATGATGAATTACCCACCTAAGCAAAGTCTAATGTAATCTGAATTACAGATCCTGCTTCGCAGGACATCAAAACACTGCCACCATTTACATCAGAAATTACAGTACTGCAGGGCCTAAGCTAAATAAAAGCCTGCTGTGTCAAGGGGGCCGGAGTGTTGCTATGAGATACTGTGCAGGGAGAGGAGAGGTGATTCAGGCTGCTTTGTTTGTATCATTTCATTTTCCATCTCAAGCTATGAAGGGCAGGGTCCACAATGGATCCTTCTGACAGAAGGTATACTCTGGGCAAAATTATACAGGCAGTTTTGGGGGTGACCGTGACATCAGTTCTAGGTAGGAACTGATGAAGGAATGTA